CGGGTGATTTGTTAAAACTAATATGTCGCACATAAATTATTAATAATGATTAATAATCACGTTATCGCGAGATGCAACATTTTCGTATAACAGTGTAGATACTCGAATGAAGTTAAGTACCTCCGAAAACGAATGTTGCGACTCGAACAAAATAAACTACCCGTAGATTTAGGAGGTAGTAAATACTAAATAATAGGCGCTTGTTATTATTATTATTATTATAATTATCATCAATCAACGTTGTTATTCGTCCAAGCAGACGACCACCGTATGTCGGACACCACGATCAGGTTCATTAACGCAAATGTATTCAACGTCAATATATTCGCGTTTCTCCTAATTTTCACTTAAATCGCTCGTTCAGCTTGCATCAGGACGCCATGCTATTACAATAGTTATTGTTAATGGCCTAGACTACTAAACGAGAGAGTTTCATAATAGCCGGATACAAAAGTGGTTGCTGCTTATAACCATGATTCGCGTGCGACGATAATAGTGTTATTATAATATGTTATTGTTGTAGTTGATGTTGTTGTTGTTAATGAAATATTCGTCTATTATCACGYATTTACACACGCGAACTCACACAAAATATCAAAACCTCGTTATGTAGATATATAGTAACTCATTTTACAAATAGTGATAATGGTAYAGGATATGGTAACAGTTTCGAAGGTAAAAATATGTAAGTCGAAACCATCCATGAGCATCCGTTCAAAACTATTCAGAAAAACAATTGTTATCATCAATTTCGATTTTTTTTTCTTTCTATAGTTGCAATCAAACCAATTATAAATTTCAGAACGGATATTATATTTTATTGTATACCTATTGTATTGTGTATACCGCGACCGGTAAATATTCATTAGACAGACATGTTATTAATAGTTGATAATGTTTATCATAATATATTACCTATAAACGACTGTATGCGATCATTGGTCATTAAGCCACAAAACAGCTACATTTCGTGTATGTTTTATGTACTTTTTTTTATCATGTCTAGGCTATAATAATTGTTTTCAAATTGAACAAACAGCATAAATAAATAATAATTTGATACAAAAAAATTTAAAGATTTTGTTCTGAGTATTTCGTATTATTACTAGATAAAGTTTTTTTTTCTCAAATAATCTCTTATAAATATACACTATATAAATATATAATGATAATAGTGTCGCGATACTACCTAGTTTTGTTTTATTGTAGTCTGAATGGAATAAATTAAGACAGCTAAACTAAGGTCAAAAAGGAAATGTGTGATATGATAGAAGGATGACTAAATAAAGGATCGTTGATTTGATCTCATTAAGTTTGGTGTGAAATGTTAACCACGATTGGYGCCATTGATTCTGCAGSATATGCGTGTAGATGGAATGTTTTACAGATTATTATGATGTTACGTTATCAGTTATCATGAACATTATAATCATATCGTACTCTGGGATCATTGTAAATCTATATCAATCAATAATCATTGTAGCTAATAGAATCTACTATCAAAAGTAATCTATCAACTATATTATTATAGTTAAAACAACGTTTTTTTTGTCAGTTGCATTTGATTATATTATTTATACATTTATTTACAGAACAATTTAATCAAAGTTTACCCGTTGACCTTGACAATTACCATGTCTCTGTCTTAACAGGTTGACTGGAGCCATGCAGGGTAAACAGACAACGTGATAGCCAACCTGTTAAACTTTTTCTCATATTATCCTAATCAGGAAAAAATAACGTTTATTTTCAAGAAATATAAATTCATTTTCGATTAGGTATATTAGCTATGAACAATATTGAACATATTAATCCCTCACCGCACCTAAATACGCGCGCTACCACATCGAAGATGATAATGCCCCAATAACGAACATCGGTACCTAAATCTTAGTTTAAATTAAATTCTCATTCCACATTCACGAGTGTGGAGGTAAAAAAAACTCGAAATTTTCGTCGGACTTACGCGCCGCAGTCCAACACCGCAGACTATAACCCCGCAGTATATCGACAACCCCCCTCCTCCTCACACACAAATACAGGAACGTCACGCGTACCGCCGATCGGACGGCTCAATATTACTTTATCGTGCTCAGTGTTAGGTGAAAGTCCACAATGTTTCATATGYCACACGAACACGTGCAAGAGCCTCTTGCAAGACTGATGGGAATAATATTCGTGGCATTCAGAAGGGTCCTGAACATGTTCAGTCACACATTATGCTTATATTCATATCATATTATTATTATGATCGTATACCTACAGTGGAAGGAATGACGAATATTTGCCCATCGAGACCTTTGCCGGAGGCGCACTTGGAACATGTATGATATCACGACGGGAGAAAAAGCATCGTCATTGACCGCCGCCTCCAGCATCGAGGTGGTTGTTTCGAGCATATTATTTCTTTTTACCTACACACGTATACATGCAACTGTACCTAATAAATGCTGTGATTGCTTTACACGGCAACGAGGGTTTTTTTTTTTTTTTAATAATCTTCACGGCCTTCCACGAAACGCGCACAAAATACATATCCACAAAAAAAATATCTTAAATCCACATCGACCGTATATTAGCAATTTGCAGAGACGTGAAAAGTACCTATATGTTTATACAAACACGATTTAATTTAAACAAAATAAAGTCTACGACATAACGTTGGCGTTTTTACGAYTTTTTATCTCATTTTACCTACTTATAACCCACCTGTACTGGCATACAATGACTTTTACATAATATAGAGTTGGATCCGGGTTTGTCGTTTCGTATACCAATATACGGTTTATGTATMAAAATATATTTCAAGTACRGGGATATGTTAAGAAAATAAATGAAATATGATTAACATATTCTTACTCTATATTTAATAATAACAACAATAAATCTAATGAATATTATTTCAAAGTGACTTATWATAAATATATACTATCTGGGACCAAAGCGGYATTTGGTTGAACGYAACAAATGTAGGCATACCTACGTGTATATTTCTTAAAATAAAACATTATTTCAAATATAGACGTTATAACTAAGTACATAGTTCTTATTTTTATGAGTCATAATATGATTTCAATACGACCGCGATGAACAGTCATATATATGTAATATATATTGTATATTATATTATTAACATTTTTTACGAGTCACGCGAGATGAAAATATTAATATCATAGTCTACCATAAAATAGACGAACAAACTGTTTGTGCAGATACGTCATAGTATCTGAGCGATTGATTGTTTTGAGACAACCTTTTGCGTTCAACGGCAAATTTTATTTCATGAAAATGATTACTATAACATTAAATGCAATGGTTCTTAAACGTTTTTTCACGAAAACTCATTTTTACAAGTCATGAAAATAAAAACAGATTTGACGTTGACATTTCGTTCGAATAATAAAAGTCAATAAATTATTCATATATATTATAAAGTTTTCAAAATAATAATCATAGCATCTAAGTGTTCCATTTATGCTGTGATAGTTTATACAATGCTGCTAAAATAAATTTATYATAACATACTATWATTCACTTTATATCGTAGTGCGTACCTAATCGGTTAGTTCAACATACATATTTTATTCTAGAATAAAAATTTACGTAAACTGGTATGTACAAAATAATGTGGCATTTTAAGAAAACACGAAGAGTATGTTATCATGATTAAAAACAATAATATAATATTGTTCTGTCTTTTTATTACTATGGTTTTTATTTTTATTATTATTATTTATATTGTTAGGTTAGTTGGCATACGTCGCCACACGAGGGAGACATTTTTTTTCGTAATCATACAATCAAAAAATTACAAGTCGTAGAAGTTTCTTTTTGAATTAAAAAAGAGTTAAGAATGCAAAATTACATTGCTWGTTCGTTTGATGCTTAAGCAGAGAACTAGTATAGTAATAATAGTGATAATGATAAAGAAAACATTTTTCTATTCAAATATTGTGATCAAAATAAATATAAACATTTAAATATGAAATATTTTTAAAAACAAATCGACATTGATTAAATGGGTTTTGTCGACTATATTATAATTAACGTGATTAGAAAAGTTACTGGCGCGTTTAAACTGATGATATTACACGAGAGAGTTTTTCTTTATAATTAATTAATACATTGATGCAATCTAATCGAAAAAACTGTATAAAAATGCCCGAAGTAGTATATTTAAAATAAAGTAAACGCACCGACTCGATGACATGCGTTTGAAGTTAAATCGTGAAAAAAAAATACTATAAAAAACCGGAAAAAAGTTGAAAAAAGTATTTAAGCGAAAAGTTTGTAGCTACTTCTCGCTGGACCTATCAATTTTTCGTCTCGAGTTAAACTCTAACGTGCGGCAATTTGTCCAAAAAGTCGGATATTATATTCGAAAAATACTTTGGAACAAGATTACGCTATATATATAATATAATACGCAATACTGTAATATACATCTTTATACGTAAGCGTGCGCGTACGTAAATCACTAATATAGTGATGAGAGTGTCTGTGTGAGCGAGAGATAAAGATATATATATAGTATCAGTCATTGGCGTATTACACTGCAGGTATATATTATTTTATAAGCTCTAGCTGATCATCTTCGGCCGGGATCGCAGCCCGACGCGCGTTGTTTGTTTTTCACCTCGCCCTCAGCGCACCTGGCATTACTTGACACATACGTCGTAGCCCCTCTGACGCGAATTCGACAGCCACGGAGTACCCATACCGCTTAAACCATTTTGGTCTACAACACCTCSACACAGGTCCGAGTTTTCGATCGATCGATCGGCACTACCGAGCAGAAGTTTTGTCGGCACATACATATAACATATTATTTTCGTACATGCRATTCCATCGCTCTCGCTCMCACGTTCCGCGGGGCTGACCGTACAGTGTATTATATTATATGTAGGTACCTATACTGCACGGCGGCGGAGTGATTGATGGACTGTGAAACAAACTACTGGCGCCGATGATAACTAACGAACGATATTATATACACTCACTAGTCACGGTCAGCGTGATGCTGATGGAATGGCCGCGTCCGTCCATGCCGGATGCAGTACAAAAATAACGGCCCACGTCCTCCTGTTTGACCGTCTCGAACACCAATAGAAGTCCGGTCTGGTTCCGCTGCATCGCCAACTTCTGCGAATGCACCCTGTGGAGTCATCGACAATGTAAATAAACAAAATAATATGCGACATAGTTTATAAATGTATAACTGCGAATAGAGCTATAGCTGGGCTGTTGTATTATTAAATTATCATGTCTATTTATTTATTTTTTATTTTTTTTATTTTTTAAATAATCTCAATCGATCACAAGAACCATGAGAATCGCCCTACAATTAAGGATAAACGCAATGATTGTCATCCTGTAGTTACGCGACTATAAACTATTGTCGCTTAGAAATGGTTATCGGATTAATAATTGAGATGACGAATGGATTGCTTTAATCCCCCCCTCCTTATAGAATCAAAACTTGATTTTTTTTATGTATTCTAAATTTTAATTCTATGATCGTAAAACAATTGTTAAATTAGCACTAAATATATGAAAAGTAATACGTCCTCGAAATAACAATGCAATAAGATGATTGTTTGTGTCACTGCAGAACACTAAGTAGGTAATACAAAAAATTGAAAAAATTTTCTATAACGATATTTAAAAATTACACAACTTAGATATATATATTATATAGCTGCATTATTGGAGAAAAAAGAGGGTGTGCATGCTTAATGAATCTTCCTATATTATTATATTTTATGACAAAAAACACTTTCTGTAGTAGGCAGGAAAAATACTTTGATCTTCAACTTCGAGAGTAGTTGTTGTAAGCAAATTGGATCCGTTAAGGGGTCAAAAGTAATACGATTTCCAGTACCTACTTTTAATATTTATCTGGAGAAACTAAAATACAAATTACAGATAAAATGAGAATAAAGGTATAATGTAAGACCTATTTTTCGAAACAAGTTTGTTAAAAACAAATAACAGTAAAACTTAGAAATTTCTAAAAAATATTGATACTTTTTTTTAAAGTCATGGTAAAATTTTCAAGATATATATATTTTTTTTTTWAATAAATTTAGAAAAATGTCCAAAGTCATTTTTAGTTTTTTCCAAATACAAAKTTATGAACTGTATTATGTTATTGGAAAAGGTTTTTAAATGTATGGTAATATCCATAAGTTGTTTTTACAGTAGTTTATAAAAATAAATGTTAAGCGTAATTTTACATAAACTTCTATCAATTAAAATGTTCACGAACAATTGATTGTTCTCACAGAGCGACCTACAAAAGGAAAGGGAAGTATTATTTTTTTCTGAAGTTCTAATGTTTATGAATGTTTATACCTATATTTATGAACCATGGATGGGCAAAAAGTAATAAGGGTTAAAAATAATTGTTATCAAGATTAGTATTTCAATATCACGGGCGCTTATATTTCAAAAATTATGATTTAAACATATAACTTTTTTATTTTTTCTCAATAATACCTACTTTTTTTATGTTCAATTACTATTTCTGATATCTCAAAGTTCACACTCAACTAAAACCAACAATAGTAACATTATTACAAACAAATATTAGAATTCTCAATTATTTCGTACGACCATTTTTAATAACGTTTATTATATGTATGGTATATAGATATACAAATTACACGAACATCAGCGTTATCATATTTTCAATTTATTCTACCTTGTACATTAAATATGACGTGCATAATATATTTCTGTTTATTTTATACTTCACGAAAAAAATCCGACAGTTAATTGGATTTAATATATTTACGTAAGTAATACAATTATAATTTGAACATTGCTCATACACGATGGTAATAATAATTAGTCTCGTTTTCATTAAACAATTCACCTATATTAATAAATATTAATTAACATAAATAAATAAAATTACTTGTATGCGTAAAATATGTAGATTTTACAATAATCGTATATGCAGTTGGTACTGCAGTATAAAATATTTAAATACCTAGTACAAGTTTTATTCATAGTATAATATTTTTAATAACAATAATAGCAAAAAAATTGAATAKATACATATTGTATTGTTTTAAAATAATAAATTACGTACATATTATGTTTATTCTGGATAAAACATTAATCATTGATTAATTTGGACTATTTTTTACATACRCTTGTTGTTCGTATTCAATAGATGATGGAATAACGAGAGCCCTTTTCCCACTAAAATTATTTTGGAAAACTACAAGAAATCACGGTGGCCCACATTGTATGCAACCAATATGAATGAACTCCGTATATAATATAATAAATATTTACGATTCAAAACAGTTTTTTACCGTCAGAAACGGATGTTTCCTATAAATGCACCGTAGAAGATTTTATTTTCTGCACCGTCCTGGGGAAAAATGAAAATATAAATCAAATGCAACCATATCGTCCATATCGTGCAAATCCTGTAGTGGAACACTACCACAATCGCAGTATTTATATTATTGCCAAGTATTCTATTTTAATAAATCCCTAAAACGTGCCCAAGCTATGTCTTGTATTATCTTTGTGTTATGATAAACTATACTATAATAACATGAAAATAAGTTTCACGTGGAACTACAAACGCGATTCATTGTTAATGCGTAATGTATTGTATTATTATTCACATGTACAATAAATAAACAAGTAACTTAATCCAAAAAATAGATACATAACCTAATAAAGTCTCGAAAAACATGAATAAACAAATCAACGCATGCCGCCTTCTTTTATTCAATTACAAGTTATCGTGTTATTATAACCATGCTGCCGACCCATCTGGATATGAAACGGCACAGCAATAAATGTAAATTCGATATTCTGTATACATTTTCAGTAATATTATATGAAAATCTAATTACATTATTGAAGTCAATTTTTACGGTAGTATTACAATATTACAAAATATGTATTTTCTCGCGCGAAAAATAATGTTTTTTTGTCTAAATAGAAATCAATGTAAGTACAATAACTTAATAGAGATAATAATAATTGACTCTCGAATTTTAATAAAAATCATATTTTCATTGTAATCATTGCTATTTGTATGGTTACACCTTACACCTATAATACAATTAATATTAATCTAATTATTAATAATTTGTCTTTCTGATKTCGATAAATAATTACAATTAGTCATTGGCCATCAATAAACGATTCTCAACAGAGTTTGATTCATTGTGATAACTGTAGCACAATTTAATTATTTATTTGTTAGAAGAAAGTGAATAATTAATAATTGAATATTCTGAAGATTTTCTGAAAGGAATAATGCATACATAAGTTTAGTCTTGCATTTAAATAGTAAATTTAAAGCTTGCCCTACTAAACAATTTAAAAGWATTAATATATTAAATTAATGTAAAATGTTTAATTCAATAAATTCGCCATCTATAAAATTTAAAAGAAGATTAACTTGCTATTTTCGAAATCATTAAAACTTTTTATGGTTTACAAAATATTATACTATGTGGTATAAGTTTAATTCACCTAAATCTGAATATAATAGAAAAAAATACAAAATGCCAAGATTATAACGATAAAACAAAAATATCATATTTTCATGAAACTTATGCTTACTGTGGGTAGATAAAAAAAAATAGTAAAGATATTTACTCCTGTATTATACTTTGATAAGTAATTGATACAAAATACGACTAACTACATATACCTAAGTTAATTATTTTGCAATAAAATCGAACCAAGATCGATTTCGTTGAGATTGGACATGCTATAAATTAAAACGTTTAGGGTTTTCCCATCTAAGAGCAAAGAAAAACTACTGAGAAATTCAAAAAACGACTAGGATAATGTACCAAACAGATAAAAATGTCTAACCAATGGATAAGGTCAAAATTCAACGTCAGAAACACTCAATCTACTAGAAAAAAAATGAGAGAGCAAAACTAAAAATAAATAAAAAAAAAAAAAACAACATATAATTGTAAACCCAATACATCATTTGTTTCGTTCAAATTCTAAACCATAGTAATATTTATACTGAACACAGTAAGTTATACCTAACCAAACCTAATGCATGTTTATAAATTAATAAGTATGTCTTATTAATTTTGTTCAAATGCGTTAATTTTACAAAAAATAAGTTTAAAAGTTATTCAACGTTGTATAATCATGATAATGTGTGTATTCGGGTACTTAAACGTGCACGGCGGGAATACAATCGTGTAATATTATATAACATACAATAAAATAATACAAATTATATTATAATATGGTGTTGATTAAATAGCTGATTATAATCACTGGAGAGGGRAAAAAAATGAAAACGTGCGTGTCACACAGGCGTTTCGTGTATACATGTATATATTATGTCCACCGTTGGGAATCGTGGTGGATAACTAAATGGGATAATAATAATATTATAATTTATAATATATAATACAATAGTACATACTTCGAATATTAGAATTAATTAACTTTGCTGTTTGCATATAATAATATACCTACATACCGATAGTAATATAATAGAATAGGTACCTACAGTCATTAATTTGTATTTCGTTCGTTAATAATATTATTGTCGAAAAACACAGATATGTCGTCAGCGTATAAGATATATACAGTAGGTACGTGTTCAAATAATATAATATATGGCCCCGGAGRAAATTGTACACATCGAGCGAGGTATTAATTTTATACGCTTACCTTCGCCAAATGTGCTCGGGAGTGGTGGTCGGAAAATGTACGTCATAAACAGCGCTGGGCGATATATGCCAGGGATTTTAGTCAAGAACATTATTTTATCGTTTTATAAGTGACCAACAATCCATTGAAGTATTTTCTATGTCCATTGTCCGTGGATTTTTTCAATAATACCAATTTATAAAAGCATGCATTTTTTTTAACCATTTTATTAAAATATGTAATATCAATAATATTAATACTATTAATCATTTACTAATAATGTTTTTTTCAAAAAATGTCGTCGCATTCAATCTTATTTATATCATAAGCCGGTCTCATTAGTGGCGGATATAGTGAGTGTTTTTACAACTGATAAAAACAACAAGATTTAAATGCTATAACCAAATACAATATTACAATTGGTATTGCTTTGAAATGAACATCAAATCACGGATACCTATAATAGTAATAATATCTTCGAACATAAGAATACCATTATATTAACCATATTATTATTATACAAATAATTTATAATACTGTGGTATTTGATGTTGAAATTAAACTTTATAAGTAGGAATGCGGCAAAATAGTTTTSTATTATTATTTGCCRCCGTTCGTTTGCAATAATGTGTATATGGATTACTATATTTGCATAATATTGTTTGTGTATAAATTCAATATAGAGGAACAATTTTAGAGAAAAACGTCTATGCTCATTTGAGAGTCAAATAGACAAGATAATTTATGCGTAGCTGTATATAGATATACAAATACAAATGTTAATATGTATATAAATCCCATCAAAGTAATTAAATACAAAATAAAAGCTCAATTTATTTTCATTTTTTTTTTTATATATATATTAATTTCTATATTATGTGTTAATTGGCAATTCAAATATGAATTGATTAGATATTAGTAATAAAAATAACTCAGTTGTATAATTTATTTGAAATGTTGCAAATAAAAACCGATAAAAAACAATTAAGTTGCAGTTTGTGTAATTGCTTATCGTTGCTTATTGATATTACTATAAATGTGATCRATCTTCAGTTATACTAAATAAAAAAAACTCCAAATGTGTTCCTTGAATAATATCAGTGTAATTCAAATGAAAATTTACCTAATCCTAATATTATTTTAAACTATAAGTTGAAACACTGGTTGTAATAGTTAAATAAAATATAGTAATTACTAATTAATAACTATTGAAATAAATATACACAAAGAGAAAGAGTTAGGTAACATAAATTGTTACTGTGAAATAAATATAGTACTATATCTCAGAGTAACAAAATCTGATATACAATAGTGTAAACAAAAATACTTGAGATTTTATTATCAGTTGTTACCATGTATAGATACTCCGCACACTTATATTATTATAGTTTTCAAATCAAGGCTGGTATTTAAAATATTATCACTATATTGAGTTAGGTACGTAAAACAAATCAAAAGGGACAAGGAGAAAACGCGTAAAATAAAATTGTAATTCGTCCACAACAATTTAAAACATTAATGATACGAATGTTTTTGAACAAATCATCATAAATATTTAGTTTGAATTCTCGGAATACATTTTTAATAATATTCTTAGTGGTAGTTTGACGTTATTAATTTTTTTAGAAAATGCCTTAATCGACCAGTAAAATAGCGTCTACAAATAAAAAATAAAGATATCTCATTAGGTTTTAGAATTTCACAATGATATCTGAAATATTATTATAAAAACGATTTTCGAGTACATTACTATATTTAAGATGTTCTAAAGAACCACCGTTACTGCGAGTTATATCACAAGGACCTCGTAAATCGTAGTATTTAATATTATATTATTATATTATACTGTTATATATGTTAARTAWATTGATCGAAATAAATATTTTCATTTTATTATCGCAATCTTGTCCATATACAGGTGGCCGTAGTTTTTGTTCAAAAAATAAAAGTACCTATCAGAGTCAAATAAAGACTTTGTCATTTGCGRCRTTGAAATATTATTTTTAAACACTTTGCGTATTAACGGGTAGAGTAAAATATTTCCATAGCTGCAGAAAATCTCACCTGAATTGCGGGCTCTGTGATATTATACCCGCGGGACCACGCCATTGGAATTCRCTGAGGTTTGGGCCATAACATGTCACGCCGTATTTCGACCGTTCTTCTCTCACCGGTTCTTCTTCGTTGGGCGTTATCTGAATGGTTTGCGAAGCGCAGCCCGTGATCGCTACAAGCACTGTAATAYAGAGAAAAAATAATATGTGTTACTAATCGAACATAATCATTGGTCGAGCAGCGCCGGGAACACAACTGACATTTTTAATTCGAATTCCAATATGCAATCAAACGCTCGACGACTATTATATAATACTGTGCTCTATATGATATTAATCTATTAAATAATCTACGCTATAGTTATATCTTTCGTTGTCATTATGTGTGTTTTTGTTGTTGTTGTTATATTACCTACTATTATAAATAAACTTCTAAAATAATGCTCCTGATAAAACGGATAATAATTAGGGWTAAATCCGAGGCTAGATAAGAGCATATATCCATCTTTCAAATATGATACTCTATTTTATCTTGGGGAATCCGAACACACACACTTGGCTGTTATTTGATTATTATCAGTAAATAAATAATATTATATTATATAAAAATAAAAAAATAAAAAAATAAAAGAATATTACATATCCGGCCAGACCAGTTGCAAAAACATTTTGTCACTTTGATTCCTCGATATTTCATCATGATAATTCTGTTGACCATTATTTTTAGGGTAGGTACCATGAGTGATATAAGTATGGATAGACCATGGTAATGCGTGCAATGCAGTGAGTAGCAGTCTATTATACGTATGACAGAGAAAGATGGTGTTGTCTCACTTTCCCAAGTGGTCGTTTGTTATATTATGTTATATATATATATTATATATACGTGTAGGTACTTTTATCTAAAATAATCGTTCAATTAACGTCCGTGTCGCATAGTATTTTCATTCTAATATTATCTGAATATATGCAGGTACCTACCTACTATATACCAGATACCATGTTTATAGTTATTTCAGACCTATTGTTATTAATATTATTAATCCAACACGTAACAACAATATTATGGTCTGTGCGTGCTTAAATAATATATGCTATTCGCACGCGATTTAACTAAAACAAACGAAAAGAAACTCGCTAGTAACGTGGTCGYCGACTGTCGAGTACCTAYAGTAGAGCGCCGTCAAAAAAAGAAAAGGAAAAAAAGAAACCATACCGTCAGATTTATGAGATGAATTTTCGTCATCGCGGTGGCGGACGGCCACGTATTTGTTATCGTTTCCTGCGATAAACAATACAACACCTACAACAACCGAAACGGCAAATACAGTACGTGACTGAGGCGACGTGGTTCAAACGTGATGCAATAATGTCATAATATCAAATTGGTAATTTGTCGTGAAAATGTTGGACCGTTATCACGACACGGCATTTTATTATTATATTATATTGACGTCATTTCCGTCTGGTTTCGTACAATCATGATGACTGCTGCACAATAATACATATTACATATTACACTCATATCACTGCATTTTTATCAAGCCGCAAACATTCGTACCTKCAGAATCATCTGACAGAATAATAATATGATTCGGGTATTAATATGCAGTGGGTGAAACGCCATTTTGTGCGTTTCTCGTTTCACCGGGTTACTATAATTAGGTAYATAGAAAAACGTCGAGAAGATTCTACAACCCACTCACTGTATAACGGAATAGTTTCTTATGATTTTCTTACGATTATTCATCTAKTGTGCATTTTAACTGTACTAGCACACGTGCACATAATATTATTGTGAACACCGTGACGATATAAGTCATATACCATACCTAAACGTCATCTTTATAGAACGCAGTAAATAATAACAGCGAAAAAAAAACAATAAATCGTTCTAAATAATATTATTAACGCGTGCATTTTTCTTCTGACGCTACTGCAACACGCGGTGTTACACTCATGACGAAGTTACAACCGTCATTCAAATTATGAATTCATTAATCTCTAGTAAGGCCTCTCGTTATTCGGAGAGTGCCAACCAAATAGCAAAAAAAAAAAATAAGAAATACGCCCTAGACACAATTTTATTGCTTCAACGACATGTATTTTATATTTATAATATGTAAGAGTTCAGTTTTTTGATGCAGTGCCAAAGGATGCGGATCCTTATTTCACAACTATTATTGTTTTGCAAAAATGTCACATTTACCAGTTTTATATTTCTTCGATCGTTCAAGAGCACCAAGAGTATATCGGAAATCCATCTAAAATATTATATAAAATA